GGAGGTAGAGGAGGGGGAGGGAGGGCTTTGCAGCCTTGAAGCATCTTGGAGCCTTTTTGTAGATAGGAAACAGATCTGTTTGGATGCCAGTTCCTAGACTATATTGGTTAAATCTTTCTGGATTCAGGCTTCACAGAGACAGTAAATTATTCACCTTAAAAACAAGGCACTGTCTGCATGCAAAAGCCTCATTTCTTTTTATATCAATTGGGTCTCATTTTAAGAACCTTACAAAGCAGAATCCTTACAAATCTTGGGGTACTGCCACTTAGAAACCTCCCAGGACTCAACAGCCTTGCCTTGAAACAGGCTGCAGCATACCTATACTCAAGAATGGGGTCAGGATGCTGGCCTTGACTTGATGCTGGCAGGAAAGCACAAGAACATGGAAATGTTAGCTAACGGGAAAACTACAGAGGAGAATCAATCTCCTCTAGAGATGGTGCCAGCACTCTTGGAGTAAACTGCCGATACACTTGGGGAGCAAGTCAGTAAAATTCCACTGATTCACCATAGAGTCAGTTATTTTTATCATTCTGCTTACCCGTAAATAGAACGGTATCTTGTATGTAGGCCAGCAGAACTTTGCTGTAAGCACCTATCCAAATTTTAAAGTGGATGAGAATGGAAAAAGAAGGGGAAAAAGAGGCAGAACCCCCTTTACTACTGAAGAACTCTTTATTTACAGGTCCAGCAGGCAGCACAGTCTCACAGCACTAAATAAAGTCAGACCAAGTAAATGGAGTCTAACACCACTGAGGCAGCCTTTTACAGCACACAGAAGCCCAACACTGAAATATGGACCAGCTTCCTCCGTCTATAGTTCTCTCTGCTGCACTGGAATCTCTCCCTGTCCAGCCCCATCTAGTGGAAAGAGGATCTCAAATGGTGTGCATGTCAACTAGTACTCAGTAAGCTACCTGCCCCTTTACAAGGGTCTAAAGGAGCATCAACTCCCACTGCTCCCCACTCTGTGGGGCACATCCTTCCCTTTCAGACAGCGAGGAATATAGCAAGCATATTCACAGCACCTTGCCTTCCCCATGGAGTAGACAAGCACATCAGGGTGGGCACATGAAAGCACAGGGGGCAGTTAATGAAGAGGCCTGTAAGAGACTAAAGCAAATCCAGAACTAGGAGCAGTTCCTTGCTGTCCTAAGACCCCCCGCCCCTCTAGGTTGGGCACCAGTGGTTTCCAGACACTGCCTGGTGACAACAGGTTGTAAATGAGGCTAGAAATCTCCATCTGGAAAGCTGGTTCAGGAGAATTAAAAGTCCCCAACCACCCCAAACAACAGGTGCAGCTGGTCAACTTCACTGTTTTTAAGTTCACATCACCTGGTAGGGGTGAGGGAAACTTGGCTTGAGACAGTATCGCCCTTGGGGAAATAGAAAACTAGTGTGAACCCCTTTTATTAAGGTGTCTGAGATATTGACCCCATCCCTGATAAGGGTGAACAGACCCAGGCTCCATTCTGCTGCCAGATAGAACAAAGACTAGTATCTTTAAAAACAAATTTAAAATGGTCCTCAGCTGAACATGAATGGCCCATCAACTTCTGACCCTCAGAGAAAATGAATTGAGTATATTTCTGTGGACCAGACTTGGAACTTAACCAAGTTGTTCCAGTGGGAAAACAGTTCTTAGTTACAAACAACGAACTTACAGACAAATTTCTGGAACATACTTATCTCTAAAGTAGGGACTGACCAAATTAATATTTGGGATGGAAATGACTATATTTTTATTTTTGGCATAACCTGGAAATAGGCTGATAAAATAATAAGTAATGGCACCATTCCCAAAGTGTCCCCCGCTGGAAGACATCCCTGATAACTCTAAGGCAGTGGCTCTCTCCTTGCCAGGCACTGTCTATCCTTCAGCCCATCTGGCCTATATGCAGCAGGGGGCCAATCTGGGGGAGGAGGTAGGGATAGAGAATGGCAGTGGTAATCACCCAACATGCTGGGAAACTAACTGTGACAGGGACAGCTGGTTGTCAGCCTGGGCCTGGCCCTGGCCCTACTGCTATGAGGCACCTTTACTCACAGTCCCTTTGTTGGTACCTAGATTACTAAGCAGCCAAGTCCCTAATTAGACGGAAAATTCCTTGACACCAGGAACCATCCTGAGACCTATGGATACCACTAGGACAGACCACTTCTTCTTGTGAATGTAAAAATAAAAGCACACAGTACCAGCAATAATAGCACAATGGAATGTGATTCTCAAAGGGCATCTAGGCTTACTCCACAACCCAGCTAGAAGAATGGCTCTCACAACTAGCATCAAGATTAAAACTGGTGCCTTGCCTAAACTGCAAATATATGTCGTGGCCTCCTCAGCTGCTGAAAATTAGCCAAAACTTTGACTACTAAATGCACAGGTGACAAGTCCACTCTGTTTCTTCTTAACTATTTTTTAAAAGTGAGACTTCTCCAGCTTCTAGCAACCAAGAGCACATAATCCACTTAATAAATATCTGCAATATCATTTTGACCATGTGCAATAATATGAATAGTTTGCCAACTGAAGGAAAAGTTGACTAAGGTTAGTGACTCCAGGGGACTGGCCAAAACCAAGAGAATATCCAACTAATCTCAAGCTCCCATCTGGACACATCACTGGCTTCTCTTTATCCAGTTAATTCCAATACACTTGCTCTCATATGCTCAGTGACCAAAAGTCACTGTGGAGAATATTCACAGTTTTTACAAAATTAAAAGGCAATATGGTCAATGGGATTTAACCGAAGGGCTTACCACCATTCATATGCCAATGCACATAAGTTTTTAGAAGGGAGTAGATCATGCAAGGCTTTCCATATCTAACTGATCACATACACCCCATTTTTGTTTTGAAGCTTCTCTATAAACATTGGGAAAAAGAGTACCTTTAAAACAAATAAATACCAGGCACTGACTTGTCTCAGAAAAATAAGCTAAACCTCTCCGACCACAGCTGGGAATTTCCTTTCTATGAATGTATACCACACACACATGTATACACTCTAAGTGTGCTGTCTCTCCTTTGCTAAGGACAGTGAAGTTAAAACAAACAAACAAACAAACAACAACAACAAACAGAAATAAGATCTTTAAAAGCGAATGTATTAAGTGAATGTAATCAAGTCCTTGGTGAAGCACATGCAGATTTGGTCAGGAATTCAAAGTGCAGGGCTAGCGCTGTCAGCAGTTTCAGGGGAGTTCTTCTAAGACCTGAATTTATTCTACCCATAAAGAAAAGAGTGACCCCTGCCACACACACACACATATCCCCAGCACTGCACACAGAGGCCTGATACTAAAGGAGTTCATATGATGGCACTCAAAGCGTGATCCTAAACAAGCAACATCAACATTCCCCCATGCACTTGTTAGAAGTGCATATTCTAGAGTGCTGGTCACACCAGCCCTCAAAAAAGTTAAAAGTCCTGTGCTCGGAAAAACTGTAGAAGGAGGTCCTCCTACTGGATACCCCTGCAGTACCACATGGATGAGGAAACTGACTTTTCTCTCTGTACAGTGCCTTCCATCTGAGAACCTGGCTAATAATTCCTGGCCAGATCTTATATGCTCTGTTCTCTTTTGTTTGTTTGGAAATGGGGGTCTAAGTTGCCCAGGCAGGCCTTAAATTCCTGGGCTCAATTCATCTTTCTCCCTCAGCTGGGACTACAGGTGCCTATCACTACATGACTTATATGCTCCTTTATAAACAAAATCCACCATCTTGTTGTTAAAGCCATACCCATTTGTGTTTAAATCTAGAAGGAAGGAAGGAAAGAAGAAAAGGAGGGAGGGAGGGAGGGAGGGAACTTAGTTACACATACCCCTCACAATCTCCATTCCTCACTCCCTGATTGTGGAAGAAGCCTAGCCATTGTGTATTTCCTGTTGCTTAGCAATGCTCAGGTACTCTCTTCCCAGGTGCTCTCAAGAAGCTGAACACTAGCATAAAATAATGTGAGGCAAGCAAAAGAGGAGGTCTGTAGCACATGCCACATCCCAGTAGAAGCTGAAATGCCGTAAGAAAGCCTCTGTTGAGGTGTGACTCCACTGAGACCCCAACATGCATTCCACCTGCACATGACCACAAAACAAGACTGAAGCAGCATTTTGTCCACAAAGCACATCTGCAGAGATTATACTGCTTGATCCCTGGGACAATATGAATGAGAGAATGACCATCTGAATTCCATGCCCAAGGAAGCTGGAATAGAAAAGCTAAATGAATTGCTCACCACAGAGAGCTGCTGAGTACTGGAGGGAGAGTGGCATCTTTTGCCCCGGGCTTGCCCCACTGTGCTAAAGACTAATTCCATCTTCTCTAATACCGACCTACAAAACCCAACAAAATATGAGAAGATTCTTCCCCCAAACCAGAAACCTTGCATGTAAAAAAGACACCACTAACTAAAGCTTAAATAAGCTTCAAACCCCCTCTATACATTATTTACAAAGATAGTTATTAGCACAGTATCAAACCCTTGTTTGAGGAAGATGCTGTACCCTGTGAGAGAAAAAAATGCCACTACAGAAAACTGATCATTAATTGGAGTGGGTAAAACCACACTTTTCCTGTGGATTAGCTCTGCTGGTGTATACTGGTCAAAAGAAGCACATCTGCGTCTCTGCAACCTACATACTCAAAAAGAATGTGCTGAGTATGTGGACACACACTGTTCACTGAGGTGTTTTAAAGACAAAAGTTAAAAGAAAATGTCAGGGACAAAGATGTTCAGTTTGACAAGAAAAGCCTCCCATAATTGAGAGCTTATAAGCCTCTGTGTGTAGGATGGCCTATTTTGCTCTGATTATAGTCTGCCAAGGGCCAGCATAACTGAATCCTATTTACAACATGATACTGCTGTGATACAACCTGAATGACACCCAATAAAAGAGGGATTTGACTGCAAAATTATGATAATTTCTAAGATAGATAAGTATTCTCTAATGAGTCCATCAAAGACATTTTCCACGCACTTCATGAAGAAACTTACCCGCCTTTCCTGTGCTGCTGACTGTGGGCGAAGATCTTATAAGGAAGTACTCGCTCACCCAGGTTTTCCAAGTTCCTCACTATGGCTCCTTTGTCCATCAGGGCTTCTATTGTCCGTTTCAAAGCAGCAGCAGTCTCTGGCTGGTTTTTGATTGTTTGTTTTCATTTTTAAAGAGAAATAAAAAAAAATAATCATCACAATCAATATGAGAACTAGAATGATTAAGTGCAGTCAGTTCCAATCATAACACCTCTACTGGCAGGGATCTCTGGGTTAAAGCAACAGAAATTTGGTTTTGGTTAACTTAAGAGTGTGAGAGGAGATGTTTATTATAAAGATATGACAGCTCACAGACACAGAGGAAAAATATGGAGAATCAGGCTTCAGAGAGTTCCAAGGTCAGATCAGCTCCAAGAACCTGGGAGGCAGGAACTTATGAGTGGCTTCTTCAGAACACCTGAGCCAGGTACAATCAGTACAAATCACTGGTCAGTCCTTGTATCTTATAACTTAAACTCCAGGAGAAGAGCATCCTGTTGTCTGAACACCTTAGTTGACCATTCTACCAAAACCACAGCCTGTAGTTCCCGAAATGTTAGAAGATGGGCTGGAGCTGGAGCTCAGTGGTAGAACACCTGCCTCAATGTGTGAAGCACTGGGTTCAATTCTCAGCACGACATAAAAATAAAGAAATTGTGTCCATCTACAACTAAAAAAAGAAATGTTAGAAGGCTATAACCAAAAGGGGGAAGGATAAGTCCCAATCTCTGCCCTCATGGAGCTTACAATCTAATAAAACACATGGAAGAAGATCAGAAAGAAGAACAAAAGAGTAGCAGAGAGACCAGGGGGCTCATGGAAGGAAGAAACACCTTTAGTTGGGAGAATGGCCTCATTAAGGAAAGCTTACATGGCAGGAGCCCTGAAAATGAAGACTGGAGATGGAACACACAAACAAACCAGGCACCAAGTACAGGAATAAGGGCAAGAATGCATGAGGCCACTGAGATAGAGCCACAAGTCCCAGAGGATGAGATCAGGTCAAGGAGGGCTGAGAAGATGACAATAGGCTGGATTTGATGACATAAGTAATAAAAGCCTTTATAAAAAATAAAATTCAGCCAATATAAAATCCAATCACCCAGAGATATAAGACTTGAACCATCTGAAGTATTTCTAGACATCTCTATATGTATATACATTAACAACAAAATGTGGGAAGATAATTCACAATAAACCTGAAAAATCCAACTTGTACAATGTGGAGAAGGAGGGTAAGCTGTGGCAAAAGAGGGCACCAAAACCTGGTGGCTAGAGAATAGCACTGTCATTAGCATCTGACAGAAATCTGGAGAAACCAGCTGGGGACAATAAACAATGAACTGGGTTTAGGACACACAAAGTGTGAGATGTCTGTGGCTCCCAGGGTTGACCCAAAGATAGAAATTCGAAGTTCAAAATACAGGTGGGTTAGAAATGCATGTTTTATAGTCATCTGTGCATCCAGCTACTGGAAGCCCTGAGGAGGTGACTCCTGCAGTGAGGGGAGAAGAGGTATGAACAACAGAACCTTGAAGAGCATAAACATCTAGAAGCTGACAAGAGGACTCAAAGTCAAACTATGAGGAATATCAGGAGCCTGCCCTGTCACAAAAAAATTAAGAAAAGAGGCAGCCTCCACAATGTGGGGTTGAGAATGGAGTAAAGAGCCACAAAAAAAAAAAAAAAAAAAAAAAAAAAAAAAACCTGGTGAGTACAGGGGCACTTAGCAACATGTGGTCAGAAGGCAGATTGCAGTTCCCAAGGCAAAGGTGGGACAGCAATGACAGGGAGAAAGTGCCAGAGCTCAAGGGGCAAGCAAGTCTGAGCAAAGTGTTTCAGGAGAAAAAACACATAAGAGTAAGACAGGAGTTAATGGCAAATGCACCAGTCAAGAGATTAAATGTAGCATTTTTAAATAACAACAACGATGACAGCCATGATTTACTATCTGACTGCAACAGGCCTGACATTGGTCTAGTAGTGTTTTATTATTACATATTTAACCTTCACCAAGAAATAAAATAAAGTAAAAAAGGAGCTGAGAAGCTTTACAGACTTGGAACTGAGCCTCTAAGAGATGCTATGACAAGGCAGTTAGTAACTGAAGAACCTGTGGTAAGGAAAAGGAAAACAGCCAGGGGAGGTGGAAGGCGTGGCAAACAGGGGCACTTCTCAGAACTCAGGGAACAACACAAGCAAGGAGATCTTGAAGTACAGGAGGGAACTGAATAAAAGGCTTTCTCCCCGTGGCTGCAATGATCAGAAAACTGCAAAACAAGTGTCATTCTGGTGACCATGGAAAATGTACTATATTGGATACATTTTCTTTCTGACAAATACTGCTAAGACATTATCAATGCACTATTAGCTTTAAGCTTAGAATAGTTTCACTTTTGTCTCATGTTGTAGTCCACTATTGATTTAAATAATCCCAACTGAAATATTATGTTTATATATTTAACCAACCTTATGATAAAACAGAATTTTCCTGAAAATAATAACATCAGGGATCAAAATCTCTTCCCATTAACTATGTAAAAACTCTATGGCAATTGCTCCTTATGATAGTATCAAATATATGCAGTTCTAATCACATGAAAACTGAATTTTCACATTTCAGTAGTTCACAAAGACATTTTCGTATTTCTGCAGAAGCCTCATTATTAACAGTAGGATAATATTTCATTTCATTAAAAATGCTATTTCTTGACCTGGCATTGCATCAATTAACTTATAATACAGTGGATGTACAGTCTATCCAAATAAAGATTGGGTGATGGATTTAAAAAATTATAGATTCCTACAGTCTTTTGATTAGTAACCTAAATCATAAATTTTAAGTTTTGCTTGATTAAAGAGGACTATTTCAATATCTCATGTCTTGTTTAAAATCTAACCAAATTGTTTACAGCGTGAAATAGGGAGTACCCTCTTCTGAAGTAAAAGCTTGTAAAATAATTTTTTTAACATCTGCGCCAAAATGGGGAAATGCTGCTAACAAGAATGTAATTTAGGAAAATATCAAAACACACCTGTTTGGTATGTAAAGGTCATGTTGGAAGAATACTTGAATGGTTATACTAATTTGACTGCAACTTCAAATTACCCCAAATGTTAAAAAGACTGAAGGAAGAGCAAAAACATTTCTTGTTTATTAGGGTAGTCCAACATGTCCCTCCTATAATAAAGCAGGCTCAGCAAACCAGGGCCCATGGGCCAGATGCAGATCACTACCTATTTTTGCAAATAGTTTTATTGGAACACGGCCAACTCATGAATTTGCATAATGTCTAAGGGCCGCTTTTGTGCTTAAAGGGAGATCTGTGGTTAAAACAGAGACCATATGGCCCAATTCCTAAATCCTTTACTATTCAGCTAATCCCTGCTTCACATTGTGATGGATTGAAGAAATTGGTAGGGCCTCAATCCACTCACCCTAAAATGCACCAGATAACCCACAAGTCTGGCCAGTGACTGAGAGGTAGAAAAAGTGAATTCCCCATAGGATGGGCCATCAGAGAAACACACAGGGTTACCACCTAATGAATGACCACCATCAGCCTCAACTTACCACAGGGCTCAGAACAGATTCTGTACTCACCACCCCATCCACATGCTCTTAATCTAATCAACCCAGGTTGCAAAATTCAGCCTCCCTAATTTGGTGAAGCCTAGAGATCCAATAAAATGAAATACTTAGGCTGGGGGTGTGAGGGGTCTGTTTAGCACAATTTGTAAAAGTATATGGTTCATTGAAAGCAAATGATTTTGTGGCTATGATTCTCAGTTACAAGGTCTCTGAGCCATTCAATTCCATCTATTCTAAGTCATGCATGCTTTTTAATGAGCTTTCCCCACCCATCTGAAAGCAGTACCCTCTGAGACTTTCCCAACCTACCAATATGCCAATTAAACAATTTTGGGGGGCTGAGTGGAAAATAAATAATGAATATGAACTGGAACTAGGAAAACCGGAATCTAGTCCCTGATCACTGATTAATGAGCTATAACACTTTGGATAAAGTCATGCCTCAAGTTTTCTCCTTTGCCAAATAAGTGGTTCTCAATTTTTCTGTTTCTACAAGCCTTACCTAAACAATATTTATAATGTTGTAATTCTCAATACCTCCTGAGGACATACACAATTTGATAAGTTTCTTTTTTATGCCCCTCCTTTCTGAATCTTCATCACCCCTTCCGGGCATTCCTGATGTCATTCTCATTTACTTCTAACATCACTTATGATAATCAATCAATATTCTTTTGCTAACTTTGCTCATCAGGTACACAACTTTATTCCAAAGTCTTAAGAGTCCACAATAAGGAATAAGTATAGACAGATGGTTAAATTATTTAAGGTATCAATTGTACCTTCCTAAGAGCATCTCTTGCTTCCTTATTCCTATCTTCTCTCAAGGATCCCCTGAGTTTTCTCCTATCTATAATACAATGCTCACTGCCAGGGTAGTGACCATAATAATGAAGCCAAATTACAATACTAGTGCTTTCCTCTTTGTCTTATGTAGTACCAAAATGCTGTTAATACTGATATTATATTTCAAAAAGATCCAGAATTCATCTAGAAGTGAAACTAAATGCAGTCATGCATTCGGTCACTATGCAAACATATGCTATCATTAAGTCATATAATCTTATGAGATCACTAGCTTATATGCAATCCATCACTGAATGAAAAGCCATTATGCAGTTCATAGCTATATAAAACATTTCACATATTTCGACATCAAGTTCAAATACACATACAAATATAAATATAAATGATAAAAGTTACATTGTTCTACAGCATGATTTCAGTTATGTGCGGAATCTAAAAGAGCAGAATGCAGGCATGAAGAGTAGGATGGTTGTTCCATTTATTGAGGGAAGTGAGGTAGGGAATGGGGAGAAGAACCTTGTTAGTCAAAGTGTAAGACGTTTCAGTTAGGTGAGAGAAGTTATACTGATCTACTGCATGGCCACAGTGACCAGAGTTAATATTTCATTTCAAAATTGATAAGACTATATATATATTTTTAAAGACTATATTTTAACATGACCAGTGTAACTCCACATTATGTACACAACCACAAGAATGGGA